AAACAGAAAGCTAGAACTTGAAATTGAGGTGCCAGAGACTGAGGTCAGTGAAGCTAAATGGACTTGAATCTGCAGGGCAGGGTATCAAATAGGAGGAAACTGAGTAGGCACAGGGAGCAGGGGAGGAGACTCCAGATATCTATATGAGATGGTGCCACAAGTCCTTGGCTTAGGGCTAGCCTGCACATGTCAAGAGAGAGACCTCCTGTGGCTTACCACAGAGTGGCTGCTAGTGGGTTGAGATATCAAAAGAGATACTACAGATTGAGCAATGGTAGAGGCATTTACTTTCTGTTTCTCTTACAGAACTCAATTTTTATACTTGTATTATAGCTTTCTATGTACTTGTTTTACTTTTGGGCAGTTATTCTCTTTGAAAAGACAAATCATATTTATTAGCATCTCTGTATACGCCAAAACACTAGATTATTATCCAAAACAAAGAGACAATGCACATTTCCTGACTATATACATAATACAGGAAAATAGCAAAGTAAAGAAAAATAAATAAAATAATTACTGCCAAATTTTTCCCTATATATTCTGTCAATATAAAAAAATCCGTTTTTCATATCTAAGAAATGAAAAACTATAGTAGCTACTCAGAAACAAATGACAAGCCATTTAAAAATTAATATAAATCTAAATGGAATTTAGGCAAAAAATATGGGTTAAAATGCACATTCTATTTGGAAGTTGGTGGAAAATAAGGAAAATGCTGGGAAATATTATGAGACAAGTTCAATACTCTATGTTATTATGCAATATGGTGTTTAAGTTTAGGTATTATAATAAAGAACTATATGTCCAGCAAATACTGTAAGAAAAACTCTTTTTTATTAATTAGGTCTTCAACAAAAACTGATCCTTGTAATTAAAAAATTCAAGATACTGGTCCTACTTATTCTTACTAATAAACCCACAACACACATTCATTTTTTTTAAAGATTAAAGTTAGAAAATCTCAGAAATTATACATCTCCCAACACTCCTTCATGATGAAAACACTCAACAAACTAGAAGGGATCTAACTAACTTCCTCAATCTGATAAAGGGCATCAATGAAAGCGCCACAGTTAATATCATACTTAATAGTGAAAGACTAAATGACTTCTCCCTAAGATCCAGGAAAAAAACAAGGATGTTTGTTCTATTTCTATTTAACACTGTATTAGATTGTTTAGCCAGGGCAATTGCACAAGAAAATTAGATAGAAAACATGTAGATTGGAAAGAAAGAAGTAGGGGCACCTGGGTGGCTCAGTTGGTTAGGTGGCCAACTCTTGATTTTGGCTCGGGTCATGAACTCAAGGTTCTGGGATCAAGCCCTGCGTCGGGCTCTGTGTTCAGCAGGGAGCCTGCTTGAGGATTCTCTCTCTCCCTCTCCTCTTCCCTCTGCCTCTCTCTCTCAAATAAATAAGTCTTAAAAAAAAAAAAAGTAAAACCATCTCTATTTGAGGTTGACATGATTTTTTTTTTTTTGAAGATTTTATTTATTTATTTGAGAGAGAGAATGAGAGGGGGGAGGGTCAGAGAGAGAGGCAGACTCCCTGCTGAGCAGGGAGCCCGACATGGGACTCGATCCCGGGACTCCAGGATCATGACCTGAGCCGAAGGCAGTCGCTTAACCAACTGAGCCACCCAGGCGCCCGAGGTTGACGTGATTTTAAATACATAAAATCCTAAGGAATCCACACCAAAAAAATCCACGACAACCTATTAGAGCTAACAAGTTTATTAGCAAGGTTACAGGATACAAGATCAAAAATCAATTTTATTTCTACACATTTACAATGTATACAACCTGGAAATAAAACAAAAAAGCAATTACATTTACTACTTCATCAAATAGAAATAGGAAGAAATTTAACAAAAGGAGTATACAACTCGTACACTGAAAACATCATGAAAAAATATTTTAAAAGACCTAATAAATGGAAAGACATCTGTCTTGACAGAGTGATAGCCTTAAAAGTGTTAGGGTGATAATACTCCCAAACCTATTTGCAGATTCAATACAATCTCTAAGAAAATATGAGCTGGCCTCATTTGCAGAAATTGTGAAGTTAAACCTAAAATTTATATGGAAATGCAAGTGACCCAGAATGGTCAAAACAATCCTTAGAAAGGACAAATTCAGAGGATTCGCACTTCTCAATTTCAAAACTAACTACAAAGCTGAAATAATTAAGACAGTGTGGTACTAGCAGAATGATAATATCCTCACATTTACAGTTGATTTTCAGCAAGGTTGCCAAGACAATTCAATGAGGGAAAGAATAGTCTTTTCAACACATAATACTAATGACTAGATATCCACAGAATCTACAAGAATGTAAAAATACATATCCACACAGAATGTAAAAGAATGAAGTTGAACTGAATCCTCCCTCATACCATACCCAAAAATTAACTCAAAATAGATCATAGAGCTAAATATTAGAGCTAAAACTATAAAACTAGTACAAGAAAACATAGAGGTAATCTAATTTTAACCTTAGATTTAGCAATAGTTTCTTAGATATGACACCAAAAGCATATACAACAAAAGAGAAAATAGGTAAATTGGACTTCATCAAAATTTTAGAAATCAGTGCTTCTAAAAACATTACCAAGAAAGTGAAAGACAATCCACAGAATGGGAAAAAATATCTGCAAATCAGATATATGAGGAATTCTTACAACTCAACATTAAAGAGACAAATGAAACAATTAAAAATGGGCAAGTGATCTAAAGAGACATTTTTTCCAAAGAAGATCTACAAACAAGCACATGAAAAGCTGCTAAACATCATCAGTCATCAGGGAAATCTAAATAAAAATCACAATAAGATGCCACTTCACACCCACTAGGATGGCTCTAATAAAAAAGACAAGCAGTGATGATGGTATGAGAAATGAGAATTTTCATACACTGTTGGTGGGAATGTAAAATGATGAAACCACCATGGAGAACAGTCTATTAGTTCCCCAAAGGCTAAACACAGAATTACTATATTATCTAGTCCATTTCTATATGACATACCCCAAAGAAATGAAATACATATCCACACCAAAAAAGTACAATAATGCTCATAGTTCATTATTCCTACTAACCAAAAAATAAAACCCAAATATCCATCAAATGATGGATAAACAAAATGTGGTATATCCATATGATGGACTATTATTTGGCAATAAAAAAGGAATAATATACTGATACATACTACAATATGGATGAACCTCAAAAACATTACACTAAATAAAGAAACTAGTCACAAGGCCACATATTTATGATACCAATTACATGAAATGTTAGAATAGGCAAATTTATAGAGACAAAAACACTAGAGAATAGAACAGTGGTTGCCTACAGTTGGAGGGCCTGAGGAAAAATGTGAAGACTGCTAATGGGCATGATAATTTTTTCTGGAGTACTGAAAATGTTTTAATATTGATTATGGTGACAGCCACACAATTCTGTGACTACACAAAAACAAAACAAAACACTGAAATGTACACTTAAATGGATGAATTGTATGGTATGTAACATATATCTCAATAAGCTGTTACAAAAAAATATATACAGCTCAAAACGTGAGGACTGGAAGGTAAGGACACATATGAAGAGACTGCCTCAGATACCTGAAGTACTTGAATTACAGCCACAGATCAGCTCCACTGCAGAGACTACTGAAACAAAAGTAAATGATCCCTATAGCAACTTGGCTCTTTCTAAGATATAAATTTATATAATATATATGGTTTTCCTTTTAAGAATTTCATAGGTAAGTTTTTTTTTTTTTAAAGATTTTATTTATTTATTTGACAGAGACAGACACAGTGAGAGAGGGAACACAAGCAGTGGGAGTGAGAGAGGGAGAAGCAGGCTTCCTGCGGAGCATGGAGCCCGATATGGGGCTTGATCTCAGGACCCCGGGATCATGACCCCAGCTGAAGGCAGATGCTTAACGACTGAGCCACCCAGGCGCCCCCATAGGTAAGTTTTTAACCAAAAATACCTAGGCTAAGACAGAATTAGCTATACAATTCCTCTACACTTAAATAATAATCTTATTTTAAAACCAACTGTCTACTTTTGAATAGGGAACAATATCTAATAATGGTTAATAACAACAATAATCAGGGCACCTGGGTGGCTCAGTTGGTTAAGTGACTGCCTTCGGCTCAGGCCATGATCCTGGAGTCCCGGGATCGAGTCCCGCATCAGGCTCCCTGCTCAGCAGGGAGTCTGCTTCTCCCTCTGACCCTCTTCCCTCTCGTGCTCTCTCTCATTCTCTCTCTCTCAAATAAATAAATAAAATCTTTAAAAAAAAAAAAAAGAATAACAATAATCAGAATTAGCCTCGTGGTCCAAATAAAATTCGTAAGATGTGTCACAGTGATAGAAGGATATGCACCATCCCCAAATCCTTCCAACAATCACACAATGAAGACGAGGAAATCAGGATTCAGAGACATTAAGTGACTTGCCTACTCAGGAATTAAATAGCAAAGCTAGGATTTGCACTTAAGACTGCCTGTCGACAAAACCTGTGATCTTACACCACACTATCTCCTATCTTCAAGATACAATAAAGCTTCCAACGAGGCAATTATAATACAAGAGACTAAGCACAAGTATGACCTACTAGAAAAATTTTGTAATGTTAAAGCTTAAAGGAACCTCAGAGAACACCTACCACAAGTACCTAATTTTACAAATGAGACAACGCTGTCTGCAGTCTCTGATCAGCTATAGCTATTTCCACTACTCTCTGGCATCCGATATACTATTAGACTATCTGTAAATCTTTCCTGATAGCCTCGAAATAAGTCAAATGAGGAATCAAACAAGAGCTCTGTTTCAGAAAGTCATGGATGTGCTGAATAAACAATCCCAAAATTTACTTTTTTAGACTGTAATAATAAAAAATAAATGTTCCTGTTACCTGCCAAGTATGCAGAATTCTGATCATACAGAATTTATAATACTGATTTACAGCTACTTTGAATTCTTACCTTTGTGGCCACAAGAAACATGGTATAAAGGAACATAAGGTTATGCCTTGATACTGCCAGATGCTTCATGTGCTGGAAAGTGAAGATAACTGACCCCAGTAGGGTTACCTTGGCAGGGCTGAAAATAAAACACATTTTAAGTCAGTAAGTAATAAACATGATCCATCTCTAATTTCTCAAAGAATACTCTGGAAAATATTAATTTAATGAGTTATTAATAGACAAAAATAAGTTAATGTAAACATACTTACAAAGTTTTAGAAGTGCTAAGTTATATAAAGTGTAATTTCACTCTGATAAAATACCAGAGATCTTAGAATGTTCATACATATATTGTGACTCTCTGATAAAGTTCATTTCTATATACAGTATTTCTGAAATACATCTGACCATATAATACTTTTTCACAAAGATTTGAAAGTCCCATGTTCCACAGTATGACTTGGAAAAAGATTAGTCATTATAGGACAAAACAAGCTCCTTCAGTCAGGTGGGAAAAGGAAAAGAAAGCCCTGATTTATAGTATTTTCCCATTTCCATGGTGTAAATACTCCCATCACAGTAAATTTCAGGGTGCTATGAAGAACAGAGAAGAGACAGATGCGCACAATCAGCTCCCATGTAACAGTAGGAGCCGGATCCAACACATTACTTTGCTAAGCCCAACACAGAATATTAGTGTTTGCTAGTATCTTAACAAATTAAGTCTGAAATTTTAACATCTACAGTAAGATGGTAATCTACAAAAAGCATTACTTTCATATTATATATTTGCCACATATTTAAAGTATATCTTAGTAACAGATCATTATCTAGCTTTGTGCTTACAACTGCAGAAAGATAAATGATAAACTCTTAGAATGCCACACTGCAAAATATGACAAATTTCATTTCATGAAAAATTACCTATTTATTTATTATAAGCTGAGGACTGAGTTCAAAACAGGATTAGGTTTGGGCACCAGGGGTTTAGACCTTGCATAACAGCTGACTGGGTAGCACTCATGTTTTGGAACAATGGTCTCTAAAACTTTTTAACTGTGAATCTTTATTGGTACCCAAAAAGGAAAAAGTGTTTTAAGACACTAATATGTGTTTATCAATTAATTTATAAGTTACATATACATACAACTGTATTATAAAATGTACACCAAATTGACATTTTTAAAGGATGAGATCAAAAGAAAAAGGAATTAGGTTTATCTTTTTTTTTTCCTTAAGATTTTATTTATTTATTTGACAGAGAGAGAGACAGCGAGAGAGGGAACACAAGCTGGGGGAGTGGGAGAGGGAGAAGCAGGCTTCCCGCCAAGTAGGGAGCCCAACACAGGACCCGATCCCAGGACCCCGGGATCATGACCTGAGCCGAAGGCAGTCGCTTAACCAACTGAGCCACACAGGCGCCCCAGGAATTAGGTTTATCTTAACCTCATTTTGCTATTCTTGGTTTCTAACAGTTTGGGTTCTGTACCACAGTACCTCATTATGGATTCTTCTTAGCATATGCTCTGAGGGATTGCATTCCCTTCGAGCATAAATTCAGAGGCACTGAATCTGAAAAGCAAGGATTCTGCAGACAATAAAATGGGACAGGGAATTGAAGGGCTGAGATTTAGTCAATGAGACTGGTTTGGAAGATCAGGATGCATTTAGAAAATATTCTTACATTAGTTTCCTATGAAATTAGAAAATGAGCTTATCTGCATCCAAAATACAATAGTAGAATAGGTATATGGTAATAGAGACACTTCATTCCAAAAGGGAGAAAACAAAAGGAAAAGAAGAAAGAGGTCACTGGTCCTATGCGATTTCTAAATCCAGCAGGGCAAATTCCATTAGGTTTCAAGGTTTCAAGGCTTGGGAATAATCCTCTGTGACATTAGGCTCCATCCTCTGAGTCCACAGCTCCAGCTTCTGCACTCATGGCTCTGGCCTTTGCACCTGGACTCCAACCTGTGGGCCTGGCCTCAGACCTCTAGGCCCATGGCTTCAGACCAAAATCCATTTTTCCTTTTCTTTGAAGGGTAACACATGTTTGCAGCTGAGCAGTTTTATCAGCCTGTTTCCTGCCTATAGATTTCTGGGAGTCTGACAGCCTCCTTTTATTTCACCTTCTCTCTGTCCCTTTTAGTGCAAGCTGGCAGTGTTTCTACTGATAGAACATTTTCAAAAACCTTGTGGGTCTCCAGCATATGACACAGGGATCCATGACATTAGTTAAGATGGTCCTCCACATATCTTTTCTGGATAATCTCATGTCTATTCCTGGCTTGTGCTGTGATGGCTGAATGGATCCATGAGTCACACACCTTATTTCTTTAACACTAGCAAAAGTTTTCCAGCCGCACCCTTTACCTTTAATCCTTACCTTTAGAGTAAGACTTAGAAAGTCTCCACAACAGAGTTTCCTAAAAATGTATCTCCTAATTTAATCATCTTTTGCAATCTGGATAGGCTGAGAATTTTCCAAATCATCATCTTGGTTTCTTTGTCCAGCAGTTATTCCCTCAATTCAACTTTTCCTCTCTCACTTTACTAAAAGCAGCAAGGAGAAACAAGTCCAGACCTTTAACACTGCTTTAAAATCTCCTCAGCTAATACCCAAGTTCACTGCTCACAAATTATGCTTTCCATGTAACTGTAGCACACAACTCAAGTTTTCTCCCACTATATAACTATATCACATCTCCAATTGCCAGTATCATGCTCCTCATTTTCTTCTGAGACCTCACCGGCACCTCTAACATTCATAGTTCTACCAACATTGTGTTTATGACAATATATGTATTTTCTAAGACCATATAGGCTTTCTCTACTATGCAAAAGTATTTGGTAATAAATAAATGAAAATTTCTGTATATACACACATACACAAAATATCATAATGAACCAGTGATCAATCTCATCTGACCAATTGATAATTCTTTCATTCATTTAATATTTATTGAGTGTCTACTACTTGGTAGATTTGTTCAAGGATACAAGCAAAAGAGAGAATAGTAAGAAATGAAGTCAAAGCAAATAGGGTGTGGAAGTAAGGCAGATCTTGGAGGGTTTACAGACCATCTGGGAGTCATTCCAAGGTTTTGAACAAAGGAGAAACAATTTGATTTGGTTATAACAGCCCAAGAAATGTTTTATGAAAGACATTTCAAGGCATATGCTCAAAATGAGAAAAATTTCCCTTGAATCTCATTAATGCCTTATTTATAACTTATCAATCAAAACCTAGTTTGTTCTATTCCTAAACTACCTCATTCACACTTTAAGGGGTACTTTCCAAGTTAAATATCCTAGAATTTGTTGCTTCACACAAACATACACTTCATCATATAGACTGCTTCTCAACTTCATTTTTAATCTATTCTAATGAGCTTATTTTCACATGGAGTCTTTCCTCAGCTTGCTTACTATGGCCACTATTCCTTAAGTCTTTTCCTTCTTGAACTGTGGAAATAGTAACTACATCTCTCTATTTCATTCTCAGGAGCATCAGGGATACATCTGTGAACTTATTTAAGAATGAGTAAGTGTCTTTAGATAACATTTAATGATCAGATTCTCTTAAATGGATGCAAAAGGTAGTCTGCACCCTACAATCATAGAGTGGTTTATTTCCTCTAATCTTCTCTTATTTTTATGTGTAATTAAGCTCAACTCTCATTTTTAAAGCAACAAGGCATTATAACGGACTGATTTGTTCCCATAAGCTTAACATTTTACTACTATGTGAATTTGAAATCTGAGTAATGTTGTAGTCATTAATGAAAATGCCAAGAACCTGCAACTGATTCACTTACATCCAGGGAAGTGTGTTCCTATGTAGTTTTCTCTCCATAAATAAACACTCTTCCCACAATTCTTTAACAATCCAGGAGCTTTGGTTTGGTTTATTTTCTAAGGGGAGGAACCCACAGAGAAAAGAATCATATATTAAAAACTACATTTGAGAGAACAGACTTTTTGAAAGAGTAACTCTCCTGATTCTTGTCCCACTATCATGACTATTTTTTCAGCTCCATTGCATCCATATTTAGAAATCTGGTAAGATCTAAGAATAAAAAGCTGGTCTCAGTATAGTTTACACCAACTCACTAGGACATCTTCAGCCATTCATCAGCTTCTGGTTTCCAACCTCCTTTTACCAACTGCTCAAAATTCGTGATAACAGTACCACCTGCCCCTAAAATAAAATGAAACAAGAATATTTAGCCAAATTTTATGGAGAAAATATTTGAAACAACCCAAGAAGATCCCCAAAATATAACTTTGAGGAGGAAGAAAAAAAGTTTTCTTGTACATTTATGGTACTGAGACAATTGTAATTCCTCCCTTTTCATCAGTGTTGCCAACTGTCTATGGTACCATAATTAAGGTTAAGGAGCCTCAAGCACAGAGATGTTCCTAAAGGCTTATTTCAGGCCTGAAAAATAAAAATTTCTGTTTTATCATTTCATTCCCTGATACTAGTTTTAGATGCAGTACAATACAACAAGAGATTAGAGAAATTTGTTCAATTTCTACATACAAAAAAATTCAACAATAAAGGTAAGTGATATAGAGTAAAGATGAACCCATAATCAATCATATTTACTACTTCTAGTTATCTAGGGTGAAAAAAAACAAAAAAAAGAGCAATTTTTAATATAATCTTTTTATATAATTTCTTAAGTTAACTTGTTTTATTTATGGTGGCACTGTACCTTAATTAACCATGAACCCCTCTGGTTCTGAGCTACTAATCAAATCAATCAGAAGATTTTATACTCTAAGGTAGTCAGGCTCAAAACAATGGCTGATGACGAGTACTAGTGAAAGTGCTAGTTATGAATTAACTTTACTAGCCAAGAGAAGACTTCCTTCTTCCAAAAATACTGTTACCGAAGTATGCGATCCCCATTAATGTAACTAGACAATCATTCAGTAGCAGTTGTATATCAATAACAGAATATTTACAAACACATAACGTTAATATTACCTCGAGCCCATCCAATAGCTATCATGACTATCCAGCCATTTTTGTAATAGCTATTAGCATGTGTGACTCCACCTACTATTTTCCAAGTTCTGGTCACTTCTTTCATTCCCGCTGCCAAGAGTTGAACAGGTAGGAAAGAATAGCCCTGGGAAACTAGGTCACATGGGCAAAAAAATACAATATACCTGAAATTAAAATTTAAATATTTTAACATATAAAGTATATTTATAATAAAAATATCTTAATATTTTATAAAATGTTAAATATATTAAGTATAATGTGTGTTAATATAAATTATTTAATGAATATTTAATATACACTCAATTTAGTTGAGTTAGCTTAGATTTTTAAACAATTAAATCACAAGAACAGCAATAAAAAGAAATAAAAACCCAGCATATTGGCAAAAACAATTTGGCAAAGCACAACAAGCTGAATTATCCATATAAACCAAGAATTTGACTTCAAGAAGACCAGAGATTGGGTAGTCAATTTTTCTAAATCACAGGAGGCATATATAATAACCTGCCCAAAAGACATGATCAAAGGGGAATTTCATCTTGTTTGGACTTCTGAATACTCTATATATGAGGAAAGTGTTTACTGAGTTCCTAATTTGTGCCTATACTCTTCTAGAAGGTAAGTGCTGAATCCACTAACTAAATAAGGCAAATGTATAATCACTTCTAGGATAGGGACTTCTCTAACTGGAGTGTGTTTGTCCTCTGGGAAAAGGAATTAGAGAAGAGTCCTCAGTAGCTGAGAAGGGCTTCAACCCTATTAACATCTTTACCTGTGCCCTTTTGTGCAGCACAGAAACTAGGACCTATACAAAAGAAGATCACAACTCTCAAGGAGACGGATTTGTGTTGAGGAAAAATATTTTTACATACAGGTAAAAGAATATGAAAATTGTTCTCTAATTAAATTGTGATACTAGTTTAAGAATAACTCACTCCTCCTCGAGTAAATTATTTTTTGAAGCATTATTTTTTCTAAGCACCTGTTCAAACAGTTTACCAATAGCATTAACTGGAAAACACACTAGTTTTTTTTTTTCCTCCCATTTCTAAAATACTCTGGCAGACAATTTCATGCTTAAACAGAACATAATCTTCTTTCTAATGTAGTGATATAGAATACACCACATGAAAGAAGTATTATATGGTCTTCCAAAAGAACTGCAATTCATGATTCATCAAGTCAGAATTCCCAAAAGTATTCATGCAATATGAAATTTGTTAAAATACTACTTCAGAGATCCAATGCAAGCTGCAATGGTTTGTTCAGGCTGAAGCACCCTTTCTTCATCTCCACTCACCAATTCCTTCCTATTCTTCAAAGTCCCACTCAAATACTACCATGTACATCTCACTTTGGGAGTTTCATTTTAATATTCTCAGTTCAGACTAAATTTTGATGGCTCTGTACAACTAAAACAATCAATTCTTATGCCTCAACAGATCTCTTTACATATTTTTCTCTATAACATATAAAGAGTGTAAAGCTCATAATAAATTATAATAGTCCTTAGATGGCAGTAATCATTCATTTTGTTATCCCCTCACCTAAAACTCAGCATGATGAAAAGTAGCTCTGAATTAAATAATTATTAGCAGTTAATGAAGAGACAAATATATCAAATCAAAGGATCAGCTGATAATTAAAGAGTTTGAGAGAATGGAATAAATTATCTGAGAGTAATAAAAAGCATTTTGAAAACAACTCATATCATTTAAAAGTATTACATGTTCATATATTTTGAGAGCCTCTATACACCTCTCTCTTTAAATATAGAATAAGAAAGTCGATTAAGGATTGGGGGGAAAAGTTACACTTAAAATAAGCAATTTTTAAAAATATTTTTAAATATAATAAAAATACTTCGGTATCCACCACAGATCAGATTAAGAAAGGGGAATGAGGTTTCCCTTTAGCAGTAATAAGTGCTCAAAAGTAAAATACTCGGGGCGCCTGGGTGGCTCAGTCATTAAGCATCTGCCTTCAGCTCGAGTCATGATCCCAGGGTCCCGGGTTCGAGCCCTGCATTGGGCTCCCTGCTCCGTGGGAAGCCTGCTTCTCCCTCTCCCACTTCCCCTGCTTGTGTTCCCTCTCTCACTGTGTCTTTCTCTGTCAAATAAATAAAATCTTAAAAAAGTAAAATACTCAAACAACAAAAACTAAAAGAATACAGTATTATGATCCCATTTTCATTCTCTACGCCAAGACTATCTTTAACATTAGTTAAAAACCTAAACTATTAGCAACTCGGGACTATTTATTTTTTAAGATTTTATTTATGTATTTGACAGAGAGACACAGCGAGAGAGGGAACACAAGCAGGGGGAGTGGGAGAGAAAGAAGCAGGCTTCCCGCTGAGCAGGGAGCCTGATGTGGGGCTCAATCCCAGGACCTTGGGATCATGACCTGAGCCGAAGACAGATGCTTAAACGACTGAGCCACCCAGGCGCCCCAGCAACTTGGACTTTCTAAATTCAACTATGTGACATTATGGCATATGGTCTAAAATCTGTTTATTGCTATTTTTAAATAAACAAGTCTTTATTTTATTTAATCAGATATTGCTAAAGTATACCTACAATAAGCTAACATTTTAATAATTTATTTTTATTTATTTATTTATTTGACAGAGAGATAGAGAGCACAAGTAGGTAGAGAGGAAGGCAGAGAGAGAGAGAGAGAGAAGCAGGCTCTCTGCTGAGCAGGGAGCCTGATGCGGGACTCGATCCCAGGACCCTGGGATCATGACCTGAGCCGAAGGCAGCCGCTTAACCAACTGAGCCACCCAGGTGCCCCTAAGCTAACATTTTAAACAGAAAGCAGCTCTCATTTCAAGTGTTAAATAGCCACAGGGCAAAAAAAAAACAATTGTTTATTGTTCTCAGTAGATTCACAAGTAAACATATCAGACCAATGGTTCCCTAAACAGCCATTCTTGCTCTATAATGTAAGCTAGCTTTTTAAAATTCCCTTAATGAATCACTCAACCAACACTCATTAAGCAATCACCATGTCCCTCCTTTTATAAAGATTATATTTTACCTCTTACTAACGTCACATCTAGGGCAACTTTAACTTGTAAAGTGTCTTTAAGAAAACATATTGGAGGGGCGGCTGGGTGGCTCAGTTGTTAATTGTCTGCCTTTGGCTCATGTCATGATCCTGGGGTCCTGGGATGGATCCCCGCGTCGGGCTCCCTGCTTGGCAGGAGGCCTGCTTCTCCCTCTCCCACTCCCCCTGCTTGTGCTCCCTCTCTTGCTGTGTCTCTCTCTGTCAAATAAATAAATAAAATCTCAAAAAAAAAAAAAAAAAAGAAAACATATTGGAAAAGAAGAAATGGAATATATCAGCCAAAAAATAGAATGAGAAGGCAAATGATTTCTCATACATTTTTAAGTCACATAAATTAAAAGAGAGAAAAAAATAGCAAAGAATAGTTCAAAATAATAGAAGTTAGTCTAAAATAGGATACAAACAAGATACCAAGCCACTGACAAATGAAAGCTAAACCAGTTTAAGTAGGAAAGATGAAAGTAGAATTTAGGTTAATACCAAGAGCTGAGCAGAGAGAAGCTTCCCACGGTTAGTCAGAGAACCCTTGTTTTCACTCTATTATTAATTCTACTCCTCTGACTACAAAAGACAGTATTACTTAACTAAGCCAAAACAGAATGACAAATTAAATACAGTTCATATTGGTCCAATATGACAGCTTTGCTCTTATTACTCTAACAAATTAATAAGTTTATGTATTTTATGTATGCTTTGAAAAAGACTGCTGGAGGATGACAGACCTGTAAAACTATACCCTTTCTGGTATTTTTCCTCAAAGCAATAGTCTCGATTACGCAAATGTGCAATATTTAATAGCTGATACTTGTAAGTTTAAGGAAACCAAACTGGGGCACAAAACCCACTACATAGAAAAATTACAAAACATTAATTTCCCCAGGAACAGTTTTCAAAAAGAAAAAAACTATGAAGGTATAACACTGTCCTCCAAACAATACTATATACACACCAAGCTACTGTTTCCCGTTGCCAGTAGATGGTGCTAATATCCACATGTGAGCACTATGAGCTAGTGTACTAAATAAAAATGGCCTTTCAGTAAGTGCATTCACAGAATCCCGTAGTTTAGCTTGCTAGAGTTTGAAGTACATTCCAAACATAATTTTATCTCTCAAATTAAAATCAAATAAAGCAAAGATTACAAATTTTTTCTCAACATTAAAACCTTAAAAATAAAACAGTAAAATATACTGGGTCTTTAAACAAGTATCATTTTTTGTATTTAAGGGTCTGAGAGGACAGAAATATTATCTATATTTCCAGAATCCAAAACAACACAGTGCATAAGAACCGACTAAAGATAGTCTAGATTTGAATCCTGGCCCCAACTACTAGATATCTGTGATACCTTGGGCAAGTTACTTAACCCATCTTGCTCAGTTACATCATCTGCTAAATGAGAATAAAACAGTACCTACCTCACACAGTTCTTGTAAGGTTTAAGGGAGATAATACATATAAAACACAAAAAAATGCCTAGGACATAGTGAATACCAGTGGTTGCTATTATTATTGTTTTGTAACCAATAATAATGATCAGCACAATAAATAAAATATAGATATTAATAAATTATAGAGCATGAGAAGGAATGTACTACAACCATATGCAAAGACACAGGTGACTCTTACTAATATAATGTTGAGTGAAAAAAACAAGTCCCAGGGGTGCCTGGGTAGCTCAGCAGGCTAAGTGCCTTTGGCTCAGATCATGATCCCAGGGTACTGGGATCAAGCCCCGCATCGGACTCCCTGCTCAGCGGGGAGTCTGCTTCTCCCTCTAACTCTGCCCCTGCACCCCCCACCCTGCTCATTCTCTCTCTCAAATAAATAAAATTTAAAAAAGACACATCCCAGAGATCTATATACAGTGTAATACTCCATTTTAAAATAGGGCCCAAAACAAGTAAAACTAAAAACTTACTGTGTAGATATTCATATATATTATTATGCCTTCTTTTTTTCGAAAGGTAAGATAAACACAAACAGTAAAGAAGTTATCTGTAGGAAAAGTGCAGAGAAATGGGGCAGGGGAAAAGAAATATATGTAAGTTATTGGTAAAGTCCAGTTTTTAGTTTGGGTGTAATACAATGG